ACTTCGGTCCCGGTACTCAGGCATGGCACAGAGCTCGCTGTGTGACTCCGGTCCGCAGTGCTTTGTGCCACATCGCTTGCCGGTCGACTTCGGTCCCGGTGCACTCCTGAGCTCGCCGGTCCACTTCGGTCCCGGCGCTCAGGCACGACACAGGGCTAGCTGTGGGACCCCGGTCCACGGCGCCCTGTGTCACATCGCTTGCCGGTCAACTTCGGTTCCGGTGCACTCCTGAGCTCGCCGGTCGACTTCGGTCCCGGCGCTCAGGCACGACACAGGGCTAGCTGCGGGACCCCGGTCCACGGCGCCCTGTGTCACATCGCTTGCCGGTCGACTTCGGTCCCCGGTGCACTCCTGAGCTCGCCGGTCGACTTAGGTCCCGGCACTCAGGCAGGACACAGGGCTAGCTGTGGGACCCGGGTCCATGGCGCCCTGTGTCACATCGCTTGCCGGTCGACTTCGGTCCCGGTGTGTTTGTGCAGGGCCTGCAGGACGCGGATTTTTGCCGGTCGACTTCACGTCTGCAAACCACCGCCTGAGGCCTGACCTATGCTTGGTCACGTGTCTTGTCGGTCGCGACGAGGGTGGCTTGCTGGACCCTCAGTTGCAATGTGCAGCCGCAAGACAGAAAGCTCTGCTCGCCCAGGCCACCATCAATCGAGCACGGTTTGTCTGTGTGGCTCTGAGATTTTGGGGGCAGCCGGTCAGTCGAGCCGATGATGCACAGACAGACACAGGCCCATTTTGTCGTCTTCTGCCTGCCGGTCCAAGCTTGGCCCTAAGTCATAGGTTGTCCCTTCTTCACATTCCAGATACCAGATGTAAGCTCGTGCAGGGCTCCTTGCTGGAGGAGGACATTGACTGCTGGGGGCTGAGGTTTCGAGTCACCCAGTTGTGTGACTCCTGACCTCTCTTAGTCTTGCAGGCGCTTCTCATCGCCTAGCCGGTCGCCAGCTGGGGTTTGAGGTGGTAGGTTGTCCCTGCAGCTCCAGACTCCAGATGTAACGTAAGCTTACGCAGGCTTGCTTGATGGTCGATGGCATTATCAGTGCTGGGGGCTGAGGTTTTTTTAGTCAGCAATGTTTTCTGACCTACGATGCTGATGCAGGCTCGTCTGGTCGCGTTGCCGGTCGATGCTGGGGCCTAAGGTAATAGGTTGGCCGGTGAGTTCCAGATGTAAGCTTGGGCAGGCCTTCGCCGGTCCGGGAGGTGAGCTGGGGGCTGAGCTTTGGAGTCATGATTATTATATCTCGTGCATATTCTCGCCCAGGTTCCTGTGATTTTTCTGGCCGAGTTGCCGGTCGGTGCAGGAGCTGAGCACAAAGATGCTTTCAAGTTTGTGCTTGTCGGCTTTATGTCCTTCAGGTGCTGGAGGGAGCATCTCGCATCTCGTGATGCGCCGGTCGTCGACAACGTACCGGCTGAGGACTCTGTGCTTTGCAAGTGAAGTGCTCCACAGCTTTACTCGCAATTGCCGGTCACCAGCCACTTCTGTCAAGTGTGCTGAACACATGGTTGGCAGCCAGGCGACATGAACATAACGTCGGTCAGCATTGAAGTGTGTGTTGTGTTTCACATTGTAATAAGTAGTGCCCTCCATTCACGTGTTGGTCGCCATGGCAGATGCCGATGATGAGGATAGGAAGAAGGACAAGAAGGGCGACGACAAGGCCAGGGACAGGAAGACGGTCGGCAGGCACAAGAAGGACAAGAAGGGTGACAAGGAGGCCAAGGACGAGAAGCCGGTCGCAAAAAAATCCAGGAAACAGGTCAGGGAGGAGAAGAAGAAGAAGAAGAGATCAGCCGAGGCGGTCGCAGAGCTCCTGACTGAGGTGTCTGAGGAGGGCGATACCGAGTCGGTCGGCAAGGCGGATGTTGAGCCGGCTGAGCCTGCAAGTGGCAGTGCTGCTGATCAGCCGGTCGCTGAGCCTGCAAGTGGCAGTGCTGATCAGCCGGTCAAAAAGAAAGGCAGCAAGTTCCAGACGCCTGACCCCAATGTCGCTTGGCTAAACTAGCTTGTCGGTCGATTCCAGCTGACTGACAGACTGTGTCGTGTCTGTGCAACTAAGAGCCGGTCCCAGCAGAAGAAGCGGACCTTCATGGAGTTTTGCTTCGAGAAGAAGAATAACAGGAAAACCACGAAGCCGGTCGATGATTGCGAGGCTTGGCTTGCAATACCACATGTTGTCATCAGGTGCAGTTGAGGTGCAGTTCAGGTGCAGTTCAGGTGCAGTTCAGGTTTCGAGATTGTATACATTGGTGCTGTTCAGGTGCAGGTCAGGTGCAGTTCGGGTGCAGTTCAGCTGTGTATATCTTATGTTGTGTGTGTCAAGATGTTGATTTGTGCAGGAACGACGTGGCCATGGCGGCTTTATGCCTTCTATGCCTTCTATGCCTTCTATGCCGCCGGTCCGCCCGGCGTCGTCACTGCCGCCTCTCCTTCCGCCTCCACTTCCGCCGTTGCCACCTTTGCCATTGCCCTTCCCGTCGGTCCCTCCGCTTACGCCTATTCCTCAGCCTCAGCCGCCGGTCGATGCTTCTGGAACAGTGCAGATGGCCCATTCAGATCTTCGGCTGATTTATTATTTAGTTGGTTGACTGACTGATTATCCTTGACCTGAAGACCTGTTTGTATGATTGGCCGGTCGAGAACAACCGAGATCTCAGACCTGCTCAAGAAGCAGGAGTCGTTGCAGGATCAGCTGGTCGCATGGAAACAGATCAGCTTTCATTGGAAGGAGGCAGTACCTTTCACAGCAGCTATCATAGTGTCAGCTGTGTTGGGCATTGGGTGAACTTGGAATTGATAACGGTCGGTGCTGTGCCACTTGGCCCAAGGCATATGGTCGGTCGCCGATGTGGCAGGCAGAGAATGTGGAGAGTCGACTGACTGGCGGTCCTGGTGCCACTTGTCTGTGTGAGGTGTCATTTGTAATGCTTCCGTCGGTCATATACGAAGTCCAAGGTTGAGCCACCTGCCCGTCATCAAGGAGTCGCTGCTCAACGTTCCACCAGTCCACTGCCTGGTGCTCAACGTCCCGCCGGTCCGGCGCAGCCGTTCAGTCCTGCAAGGCCCAATCCAGCCGCTGTGCAGCAGCAGCAGCCTCGGCCGGTCAGTGCGCAGCAGCAGCCTCCCATGATGGCCCCTGCGCAGCAGCAGCAGCAGCAGCCTCGGCCGGTCAGTGCGCAGCAGCAGCCTCCCATGATGACCCCTGCGCAGCAGCAGCAGCCTCGGCCGGTCAGTGCGCAGCAGCAGCCTCCCATGACGGTCCCTGCGCAGCAGCAGCCTCCCATGACGGTCCCTGTGCAGCTCCAGCGGCCGGTCGGTCATCCACAAACCTTTGGCCCTGCCAATATTCCTCCAACACCTGGCCGCCCACAGCGGTAGTGAGTGGTGGGCCGGTCGACTGAACTGGTTTCCAGGATGCCCTCAGGTCCCTCCTCTAGGCGCTGAGGAATTTCATCGCCGCCTCGAGGAAGGATTTGAGTGATCCGGGCCGGTCATCTGAAAAAGACGAGCTCGCGTATTATGTACTGCATCCTGACAAACATAGTAGGTTGCTGAGTTGGGATTGCATTGCTTCACCTGCGAGGACAGTGTGCTTCCTCCTTTGGCCATGTTTGCCTTGCCCTTGGACGTCGTGAACAAGTGCAGATTCCAGGATTCCAGCCCATGTAGTCACACAAGTGAGGTCGGTCGCTTGTCGTGGCCTTCCTTGACCAGGCCATTGTAGCATTAAGCGGCAGAAGAGTTCTGTTGTCTTGCTGCTGGAGGTTTGCAGACAGCCGTGCCGTGGGCCTGGATGAGGCCCAGGAGGCCGGGCTCTGCAGCACACGTGTCCACTGGTCGGTCGGCAAGTTCTTGGCTGGCTAGTACCGATCTTCTGCCGCAACAAGGCTCAACAGTACCGAGCATGTGTCCACGGCATGTAAGGACATGTCTCACAGTCACAGTCACAGCGAAGCAAAAGCACGACGGTCATGAATGTCTCCAGCAATGTTTCGAAACATGAAGTGGGTACTTGAGCATCATACCTCCTGCGGACGATCATGACTCTGCCCACGGACGGTCGAGGTGGGTTCGTTTGATTGTTGAGAGAAGAGTTTAGCTGCTATGATTCTGCGGCCGAGGCCAGCCGGTCATTACTGGGCCTACAGAGCACCCGACTCCAGCATCGACGCCGTTCTCCTTCACTCCTCCAGGGACCTGGACTCCAGATCCGCAAGGTCCCATCCTCCAAACCATCACACACGACCTTGACATGATTGACCCTGCAGGAGTTGCTCAGCCGGTCCATCCTGCCACGCCTCGAGAGCCTGCCACGCCTGAAGGTGTTGCCACGCCATCACACACGACCTTGACATGATTGACCCTGCAGGAGTTGCTCAGCCGGTCCATCCTGCCACGCCTCGAGAGCCTGCTACGCCTGAAGAAGGTGTTGCCACGCCGGTTCAAGCATACAATTTGTGTCTGATATGTTTCATGCACAGGTGCCGGTCAGACCCAGACTCTTGGAAGGCCGCCAAGAAGTAGAGGCAGGTGGCAAAGTTGAGTCTTAATATAGGCTGGACCGAGCCGAGTCTGTTGCTAAGTCTGGGGGGCCAAAGACGACCCTGAGGAGCGACGACGCCTTCCCGGCTTTTGAACCCCATCCGAGAAGGCCCAGGCAGGTCTAGCTATTGTTTTGACTTGCCTGGTTGTGCCTGTTTGCTGCTGGTGTTTGTTGTTGGGGGGCTGGGCTGATGTCGAGGAGCCGAGGCTGATGATGAAGCTGCCGGTCCTGAGTACTTTGATCCTCACGCCGGTCTAGAGACAGCCTCGTTGCGCAGCGTTGCCACCATCGACAGCTTCGACTCCGCCAAGGTGCCGGTCAGAGAGCCGAGGGTGGGGGCTTCACAGAAGGTCGAAAGGACCGCCGCCAGGATGGGGTGCTTCCCCAATGACCCCCTTCCCGGCGGTCGCAGCTCCTCTTCGTCCGGGCCCTCACATGCCGGTCGAACAGGTGACGGAGACGGAGGCAAAGCCGGGCAGAAAGGCGGAAAAGGCGAACCTGCTGCCGGTCGAGGTGATGGCGGAAAAGGCGCCAAAGGCGGTGATAGCGGAAAAGGTGCCAAAGGTGATGCCGGTCGCCCCTGGCCATGGGAACGTCGCGCGCCGCGCAACATTCAGGCCGACGCAGCACATGAAAGCCGGTCGTTCCCGCCACTTTCGCCGGAAGGCTCGGATTCTGACAAAGTCACATGAGTGTCGGAGTGTCTGTCGGTCACATGAATTTTCTGTTGCCCCCTGCAGTCGAGCGGCAGCTGCTGCAGCACTTCCTCTCCAAGATGCCGGTCGCATGTCGGCCTGACTACCCCGAGAACCCCGACAACGACGATGCTCGGCCGTCGAATGACCCTGGCCCGCCGGTCGCAGGAACAACAGGACTTCGAGAAGTCCAAACGAAGGTCCTAGCGAGCTCCCCAGCTGTGTTCATGGTCCTCCGACACCTGGCTGTGGACTGGGCCAGCTGGGCCGAGCCTTGACTAATCTGGCGTGTGTTCATTCATTGCCGGTCGAGCTATTGAGTCTGTGTGCATGTGTTCAGTCATTGCCGGTCGAGCTCTCGAGTCTGTGTGCAGCCAAGAACATGTGTGCTCTGATGGAGACAGAGCACAGCGCCGGTCGGGTGTACGCCCTCATGATCGTCTTCCGGTTGTGCCGCCACGCTTTGTCGTGGGATATGGCGGTCCCACCGATCTGGCAGCTTGCCTGCAATGTGGTGAGTTGATTTGAAATGAAGCTCTTGGTGTCAGTGTGCCGGTCTGATTGATTCAGTCAGGTGGTCGCCCGACCGTGTCATCGCGGCTAACACCCGCGAAAAGATGCATCTCTTGATGCGTGATGTGGAGTGGCGGCTGGGCGACAACGCGAGCCGGTCGTACTACCACAGTAGACACGGCCAAGACAGCACGTCGGTCGGCGATATCTTCTTCCAGTCCGAGCGTTGCCGGCAGGAGGCCGGACTGAATGGGTTCAGATCAATAACGAAACATTCTGCCAGTGTGTCAGGCTCAGGCAGCCAGACGCCGGTCGGCCAGCCAGGGGCCACCTCCGCGTCGGGATCCACGTCCGCATCCGGACCCTCCCCAGGCTTGACATTCTGTCATTGTGTTGTGTGGTTGTTTGCAGGAGTGTATCATAATCACTTGTCCTGCCAGGCAAGCACATTGCCGACGGTCCGGCAGAGCGGGGAAGACATCATTGCAGCGATGTTACGGGTCCACCAAGAGCAAATGAGCAGACCACCTGCCGGTCAGGCCCCGCCCGTACCCAAAGCGTCGTTTGCCGGCAAATAACAAACTCATCTTTAAAATTATTTTAGATATAATATTTATAACTCTGCTGGCTGCTTCTATTAATATCATGCGAGCATGTGCATTTTATCAATTTGCTACGTCCAGCCAAGCCAAGGGGCCCACCAGATCCGCCGGCCAGCGACGACGGATCCACAGCAACTCGTCAATCACAGATCAAGTCGTTTTGTTATGTGTGGTGTGCGCATTCTCACAATGCCAGGAGCAAGGCGGTGCTGACGGTAGCAGGGGAGGCAACCAAGCTCCGCAGCAGGACTCATGATCAATTCACCGTCAGTTGGTTTCAATCACACACAAATCCTGGATTGCATCGAAGGACAGCTCGGGCCCAGGCGACGGTCCTGCTTCACAACAGGACTCATGCGTGATTAATGCTCCTTGTGATGTGCCACAGAATTTCAGACTGGATTGCACCGAAGGATGGAAGCTGGGGCCAAGGCGACGGTCAGGCTACGCAGCAGGACACGTGAATGTGCTTGAGTGGCAAAGAAATGAATGCACAGTGTATTGAACCACAGGACGGAACCTGGGGAAGCATGGCCTGGGGACAAAGCGGCGGTCAGGCTTCGTGGCAGGACTTCTCAAGAGTTCTTTTTGAGACAACTCCACCCAATCCGAGGACGCAACCTGGGATTCCTGGGGCCAAGGCGACGGTCAGCCATCGCAGCAGGACTCGTTCAGGTTTCTTTTGAACACTCACTAAATTTCACAGTGGATCATTGCATTGCATCGAAGGATGCAAGCTGGGGACGAGGTGACGGTCGGGCTTCGGCTCGAAGCTGGGGATACTTCAACAATCAGGCTTCGCAGCAGGACCCATGAACGTGCCTTTATATTGACTCATTGAACCGTAGGACCAAACGTGGGGAAGCATGGCCTGGGGGCAAGGCGCCGGTCAGGCTTCGTGGCAGGACTTCTCAAGAGTTCTTTTTCAGACAACTCCATCCAATCCAAGGACTCAACCTGGGATGCCTGGGGCCAAGGCGACGGTCAGCCATCACAGCAGGACTCGTTCAGGATTCCTTTGTCACTTTTGTCACTAGTGGATAACTGATAGCTTCGAATCGAAGGATCCAAGCTGGGGACAAGGTGATGGTCAGGCTACGCAGCAGGACTTGCAACCATGTCTTTCTAGCAGAATGTTATGTTATCAGAGAACTCCGTCGAAGGACGGAAACTGGGATACCTGGGGCCAAGGCGACGGTCGCACATCACAGCAGGACTCATGCATGACTGTTTCCGTGTGTCACAGAACCTCTGGATTGCACCGAAGGATGGAACTTGGGGCCAAGGTGACGGTGGCACATCACAGCAGGACTCATGCGTGATTGCTTCCTTGTCACAGAATCTCTGGATTGCACGGAAGGATGGAAGCTGGGGCCAAGGTGACGGTGGCACATCACAGCAGGACTCATGCGTGATTGCTTCCTTGTCACAGAATCTTTGGATTGCACGGAAGGATGGAAGCTGGGGCCAAGGCGACGGTCGCACATCACAGCAGGACTCATGCATGATTATTGCTTCCTTGTCACAGAATCTCTGGATTGCACCGAAGGATGGAAGCTGGGGAGGTGACGGTGGCACATCACAGCAGGACTCATGCGTGATTGCTTCCTTGTCACAGAATCTCTGGATTGCACGGAAGGATGGAAGCTGGGGCCAAGGCGACGGTCGCGCATCACAGCAGGACTCATGCATGATTATTGCTTCCTTGTGACGTCACAGAATCTCTGATTTGCACCGAAGGATGGAAGCTGGGGACAAGACAACAGTCAGGCTTGGCAGCAGGACTCATGCATGGTTGCTTCCTTGTCTCACAGAATATCTGGATTGCACCGAAGGATGGAAGCTGGGGAGGTGACGGTGGCACATCACAGCAGGACTCATGCGTGATTGCTTCCTTGTCACAGAATCTCTGGATTGCACTGAAGGATGGAAGCTGGGGACAAGACAACGGTCAGGCTTCGCAGCAGGACCCGTGAACGTGCCTTTGTAGCAGATTGTTTTCAGAGGATTCATTGATTGAGCCGTAGGACCAAACGTGGGGAAGCATGGCCTGGGGGCAAAGCGGCGGTCAGGCTTCGTGGCAGGACTTCTCAAGAGTTCTTTTTCAGACAACTCCATCCAATCCAAGGACTCAACCTGGGATGCCTGGGGCCAAGGCGACGGTCAGCCATCACAGCAGGACTCGTTCAGGATTCCTTTGTCACTTTTGTCACTAGTGGATAACTGATAGCTTCGAGTCGAAGGATCCAAGCTGGGGACAAGGCGACGGTCAGGCTACGCAGCAGGACTTGCAAACATGTCTTTCTGGGAGAATGTTGCTTCAGTGGCTTGACCAGTAGGACGGTTGGGGAAGCTCGGCCTGGGGGCAACGCGCCGGTCAGGCTTGGCGGCAGGACTTCTGAATAGTTCTGTCTGTATCAGAGAACTCCGTCGAAGGACGGAAACTGGGATACCTGGGGCCAAGGCGACGGTCGCACATCACAGCAGGACTCGTGCAGGGTCTCACACAGTTTGAGTGTGGATTAATAAATAGTTAATTAGATTGCATCGAAGGACGGAAGCTTCACCGGTCAGCCTTCACACCAGGACTTGTGCAGGGTGTCAGTCACCCAATTTCAGTGTGGATTGCATTGCCTCGAAGGATGGAAGCTGGGGACAACGTGATGGGCAGGCTGAGTCGCAGGGCACATGAACGTTTCTTTGTGCACAGAGTGAAGATCACACAGTTGGTTGATCTAATCGAAGGACGTCGGTCCGGGACGACCCGCAGATCAAGCTTCACACCAGGACTCGTTGCTCATGACATGATTCTGTAGCTGGCAAGGTCTTCTAGTCACGGTGGAGTCTAGCCTCTTCAAAGTGCGGCTCAACAGCGAGGATCATGGAGATGAGCAACAGGACAACTTGCTGTCAAGCTGTATAGTGCTAGAGTCAGAGTGGCAGCGGAGGAACTTCCGCTGACTAAACAATGAATGTTGCAGGAGGGAAGAGGTCAAGACGGTCATGGCCAGGACTTGTGAACGCGTCCAGAGTTTAAGAGTAGTGTAGGCTGTTTAATTTGAATCTTGGACCTGCAGGACGATGGGAGAGCAGATCCCTTCCAACACCAGTAGGACTCCTGAACATGTGTTTGTACTGCTGGTCGTCGGGGACACATAAGTATAAGATTGCATTGCGAGGGAGGTCTCCACTTGGATTGGAAGCTGGGGTCAAGAGACACGAGTAGTCAGAGTGCATTCACTGTCACAGCTGTGCTTCAACATCGGAGGACCAGCCACAAGACGGTCATCAGCAGGACTTCCGACTGTGTGTGTGTGTGTGTGTTTGCGTTCATGTCATGTTGACTGTCAAGTTCCACAAACACCTGACGTTCACAGGATCCCTGATGGGAGCTGCAACAATGGGGTCGTGACCGTGACCTCCAGCAAGAGTCGGTCGCCTGTTTTTTCTGTCGTGTCGTCGTTTGCGACAGCGCTTGCGGGACCGACAGTCGCAGAAGACGGGGCAGCTTCGGTTTAGATTTGTTTGGAATAAGTTAAGTCAGTCAGTCAAGTCTTAATATACCGACTTAGTCAATGAAACTATGCAACACTTCTCATTGAGTTGCCATTAATGGCCACATTCAGAATTCAGCTCTTCAAATGAGAACCTACCATGGCCGGTCCCGTCTTCAGCTCGAATCGACTCGGATCAGAGCAGAAACCGACGGTCGTGCAATGATGGCAAAACAAGTGCAGCTCATGCATCATGGGTGCCACCTCATTTGTTTACAGCAATGATGCATTTTCCCGTGGACAGGCTTTCGGCAACATCTTCATGACCTGCCACATCCCTGGATGCAGTGGGTGTTCCGGTATTTACCTGTCTACTTTTTGCTCCAAGGCGAGAGCTTCACATGGGGCCGGTCAGTGTCACGCATGAGGCGGATTCGTGAGGTGTAATCATAAATAAATCAGACCGATGGACAGACCACCGACGTGGCAGGCCGGCCCGGCGACGAGTCGGTCGTCCAGCACTAAGTCAACGTTTCATCTGAGGATCACAGAGCCAAGTCAAGATGCATTGTTTGGCACCTTGAGCCAGGCTAGCCGAGGCCATCGGGGGATCTCGTCAAAATGACAAGATCCCCCAATGGCCTCGGCTGAGCGACGGTCTGACACAGTCCAGGAGGACTGCTGGGTTTGATGCTTTGATTCACAAAGGTTCCAGTGCAGTTCACGCTTGTCCTTTTTAGAAATAATAGACAGAGCCCTATAAGTTTACCTATATCCCTTAGTAGGAATTAATTATTCAAGAAGGTCTACTAGCCGGTCTGTTCTGTTTATTCTTTCTGGGGGAAACCATGAACATGGATAATGCTGGTGCAGTTCAGGTGCAGTTGAGGTGCAGTTCAGGTGCAGTTCAGCGTTCGTGCTATTATAGATTGGTGCAGTTCAGGTGCAGTTCAGGTGTGGTGATGCTGCACAACCATATGTGAGGTATACAAATCATAAAATAGTAAAAGGTATGCTGTATTACACAAAAAAGACACGAATGAACTTACCAGGATCTCTGGTCTGGTCAGAGTAAGACTACTTGGCCGGTCCCTGCCCATAGCATCACACAGTTTTGGCTTAAATACATCGGCTCTAGTGATAGTGACAGTCACTATCTTGCAACATATATATATATATATATTTAAGCCAAGGTGCTCCGATTGATCCATAAAGCTTCTCTGCCACATCTTGGCGACACCTGGTCAGGAAGTGTTGCCGGTCGAGCTCCTCGGGTGCTCTGGGAGGCATAGACCTGGATTGAAATTTTCAGTCCAGGTCTATCACCTCCCAGACCACCCAATCTAAATCTTCATGGCTCAGGGTACAGGCCTCAGTGTCGGTCAGCATTCAATAATGCTGGACACTGCTGTAATGATTGACTTAGCAACACCTGGTCAGGAAGTGTTGCCGGTCGAGGAGAGCTATCGACAGGTGTCCTCAACCCTTCGTCGGCACCGCTCAGCCAGTCGACTACGACTGGCTGAGTGGCGCCGACGAAGGGTTGAGGAGCTCCTTGGATGCTCTGGGAGGTCGGGCTCCTGTAGCAGTAACAGGTCCATGCCAATTTGAGATCCCAGTCACCTTAAGTATTGAGGTCCAGGCAGAAGCAGATCTACTTTCTTTGCCGGTGGTGTTCTCAGACACATGCGTGGGCAGTGTACTTTCGAAAGTGTTATGTGTGTGTTCGCTCAAGGTCTATCACCTCCCAGACCACCCAATGTAAATCTTCATGGCTCAGGGTACAGGCCTCAGTGTCGATCAGCATTCAATAATGCTGGACACTGCTGTAATGATTGACTTAGCAACACCTGGTCAGGAAGTGTTGCCGGTCGAGGAGAGCTACCGACAGGTGTCCTCAACCCTTCGTCGGCACCGCTCAGCCAGTCGAACTACGACTGGCTGAGTGGCGCCGACGAAGGGTTGAGGAGCTCCTTGGATGCTCTGGGAGGTCGGGCTCCTGTAGCAGTAACAGGTCCATGCCAATTTGAGATCCCAGTCACCTTAAGTATTGAGGTCCAGACAGAAGCAGATCTACTTTCCTTGCCGGTGGTGTTCTCAGACACATGCGTGGGCAGCGTGCTTTGGATACTGTAACTAGCTATGACTTCATGATTCATATTTGCCAAGGTCGGTCGCCTACCATCACCATCTGGTCAGACACCATAGAACTGGACTCCAGCTCTATGATGTCTGATCAGCGGGTGCCGGTTGGCCTGGTCCTCATTGGTTACCTGCAGTTGTTGGGCACAGTCACAGTCGGTCTATGTCTATGATGCCTGCCATGCCACAAAGCAATTTCAGCTTCACGAGACTTGCCGGCCCCACTCCCCGTCGCTATGGCCAAGACAGGTTATGTCGGACTGTCGGTCGACCAGTGGGAGCACTGGCTCTGGAACCCAGTTCCCGACGTCCAGGCCTATTTCTCCCCGTCGGTCGCTGTCTATAAGGCTATCGCTGGTGTCGGTCGCAGGTGCCTTGCTGCTGTGTTTCAGTTCATTTATCATGACCAGCGAGGATGCAGTAGTGTAGGTCGTCCTTAGTTCTGAACTGCCCGGTCGGTCAGGATGCAATACCAGCTTTCCGACACGGATCCCATTCCGGGGCCGATGTACCAACGGTCGAAGCACAAGGAGCAGGCCCATCGTGTTTCGGCTGGGGGCACAATCATGTGTGTTACTGATAACGCCGGTCGGGAAGATGAGGTCAAACTTCTGTTGACCCGGTTCGTGGTCGTGCTGGAAGTGCAGGTCGATGAGTTCCAACTGGCTATGGAACAAGGGTCGGTCAGACCATGCACCAACGACGGCTTCGTCGTGAGGAACCTCGACTTGTCGGTCGAGAAGCACCTCAAAGTCACACGCATGGACGCCCGCCTCGAGGTGGAGGCGTTGCCAAGTGACGTGCCGGTCGACAAGCCTGCTTTCGTGTTCTACAAGATCTCCGATGATGTGACGGAGCTGTCGGTCGTGAAGAAGCTAGCTACAGCATGAACAAGCCCCGAGGGCAAAAGCGGCCTTCCTCCACAGTCGGTCGGGGTGGCACTGGATATATGTATTTCAGTAACCCGACGAAGGCTGCGCTGATGTGTTGGCTGGCAGGTGGCGGCACGGCGGTCGATGTGCGGCTGAGCTACTATGGAGTGGGCATGCTTCCAGCTGGACTCCTTCACTATGATGAAAGCATGTCGCCGGTCTGTGTGCTTTGGTGGCATTCGATTCAGTGATGTTGCAGTTGCATGATTTCTAATCCTGCAGTTGCAATCTACAGCATAAGCTGTCTGCTCAGGACTACTACTACGCGCCGACGCTTCCCCAGATGGGCGTTGAGTCGGTCGCCGCGGACTACAAGGTCATGGTTCAGTTCAGCAACAAGGTGCCGGTCGGTGACTTCGTGAAGTTAAAGAACCTCGAGACGCTGAAGGAATACATGTACCAGAACGATAAAGAGTTGGAGGAGCTGAACAGTCGGTCGTCAACTCTGATCGCGATACAGAAGAAGCTGGTCGCAGAAATGGATGAGATGCTCGCCAAAGAGTCGGTCGTGGATCTGGCGGGCAAGACAACGGTGTCGGTCGAGGATCTGGCGGGCAAGACAAAGCAGCCACTCGTCATGGAGTCGGTCGAGGAAGATGTTGCAGGCAAGACAAAGCAGCCGCTCGTCATGGACCAGGTCGCTGAGTCTAGCTGATGTCCACCAGTCAAAGGCCTTTTTCCTCACTCTAGCAGGCAGGCTGGCCCTGGCAGTTGTCGGTCAAATAATGACAGACCATGATCATGACGATAGTGTTTTCTGAATGCCAGATGCAGCCTGTCCTGCCAGCTGTCGGCCATGCCATGTGTGCATAGAGCCACAGTCGTCTGTCGGTTTCAGCAGCCAGCGAGACATGTGTTTAAAATGTGAAGCACGTGAGAGGGCATGCCAGTCGACTTAGTGTTCGAGATTGAGTGCAGCATACCTGACTTTGTTTGTTACCTGTTGGTTCTGTCATGTAGTCAAGTTGTTGACTTGGTAGCACAATGCATGCCAGCCTGGCGGTCCATGGTGCATTCCAGCGCATGGCACATGCTTTGGAATCCACTCTGGGCTGCATTTGGTTCGGAACCCCCAGGATCGGTTGCTAAGGCTTGTAGCCCCAAGTTACCAGTTCAGACATCGGTCGACAGCCCGAGCCAGAGATGACCTCCAAGGTTGAATACATGCCTTCACTAAGTTGAACCCAAAGGATGCTTTGCTAAGGCTTGTGGTCCTATCTTGGGGGTTAAAGTCGGTCTAGTGCTGCATCGTCCTAGGTCGGTCCCACTCTGACACATATGTTGCAGCACCTTAGCCGGTCGTGCATGCTCTTCCAGTTGAACCAGCAGAATAGGTTGCTAAGCCTTGTGGGCCTATCTTGTGGGTTCAACATCGGCAGGCCGGTCGATGATCTTGGAAGCACATCTCTGAGTGTCGGTCGTGCCGTTGCCTACCTGGAGTTTGGGCTTACAAGCCTTAGCAACCGATCCTCGGGGTTCCGAACCAAGTCGGCCGGTCGAGCCATGTCCAAGAAAGCAGGCACTCCTGCTTACGCGCCGGTCTACGTGGAGAGCAAGCTCTTAAAGCTTGACGACGTGTCGGTCGCCCATGATTCCGGCCATCGGGACGTCGATGAGGATCGTGTCCTGGAGTTGTATGAGAAGGTGATTTTGGCCGGTCGTTGGGGCCAGGCTTCGTTGTCCCGACCGAAGCTGAGGCCAGTCGAAAAGTTTATTTTCTCGTGCTTGGTAGTTCACTCTTGGGTTTCGCAGGTATGATCCTGCTGGTCGTCCTATGGCCGCATCTGATGGCCGGTCGAAGCTGGCAGATGGCAAGCACTGTATCGCAGCGTTGAAGATACTTGACGACGTGTAGTTTGTCGGTCCAATTCCACGTTCTGGTGTGCACTGGTTTGTCAGCTGGTCAGAAAAGAGTCGGTCGAAGTCCACGGTTTTCATTTCCCTTAATTTTAAATTACTTTCTGACCGAGGAAAGCTGCTGAGACGGTCGCTCAGTCCGATGATGCAACGCAGCTCGAGTGGTACACAGGTGAGATCAAGGACATTCTGACGGTCGGAATGCGTTTTGATTGCATCAAATTCTTGGATGATGATGAGGCCAGGGATGTGCAGTATGACTAGACACTCATGACGGTCACTAGTTACTCCTGTGTCAGGCGGCGGTCAAGCTCTTCTACACCATGGCCCATGAGCAGGAGGCCAACAAGTTGCGGACGACGTCGGTCGAGCACAAGATCAAACTTGTGCGTGCTTATGTCGCCAAAGTTCCTGGCGGTCTGATAAAGGACAGTCGGTCGACCACCTGTTTTGTTGCTGGCCCTGAGTCTCATCTGTCAGGACGCCGAGAACGCCATGGTGGAAATTTTGGGCAAGTCACGCCGGTCAACAATCCACAACTGGTGCAAAGCGACTGCAGTGTTAAAAGAGCCGGTCCTGATCAAGCTGAAGGAGAAGCCCGACCTGCCACAGGGACTTGTTTTCACGAACAAGTACTTCGTCGGTCAAGGAGAAGAGACACGTAACTCGGCGGCATGCCATGCTGTTAGGTTTCCCTGCATTGTTGGTCGCGGAATGCAGTTGGCTCAGGCTTCCTCCTGGAACCCGAGCAGCAGATTGCTGCTCTGCAGCTTTTCTATGACTTCTGTGACGGTCGCGGGACGGTCTCTTCCATACCGACCTTCATGTCTGACTTTTGTGCCCCAATGTTGAAGGCACAGTTGTGGTGTCAGTTGGTCATGAAGAAGTACTCGTCGGTCGTGAGCCGCCTACCAGCGTATGACCGCTGTCAGAAGATGCTGTGGAGTGAGCGTGGACGGTCGCGCATTTTGAGGCTTGCTAGCACTATGAACTATAACTGACATTCAGTGCCATGTCTCATTATTATGGTGATGGGGTTGCCAAGGACGTGCATGCGTCTTGGCGTCGGTCTGTCTGGTGACCCGAAGATCGAGGGCAGTGGCATCCCTGAGTGTGTGTCGGTCCTCCAAGGGTTGAAGAATCTGGCCGCTGGTCGTGCAGTGGATGAAGCCGAAAGTGCTGTGGATGCGGCCAAAGCAACGGTCACAGAGCACAAGCTGGTCGTTGAGGGGGGAGACGACGAGTCTGGGATCTTGGCTGACGACATCATGATGGAGGCCCCACTGGTGGAGAAGGATCCTGTTCTTGAAAAAGCTGAGGAGCTCGGCTTGTCGGTCCGCTCCAACATTCATCTGTTTCATGACATGAAGACCTTTGGTGATGGCTTCGTCGGTCTATGCCGGGCGACGACCCGTGGCGGCATTTACATCGATGAGGCCACGTCGAAGGCCAAGATCATTTTGGGGGACATGGCAGAGTTGTGGAAGGTCGTCACGTCGGTCGTAGATCGGCAATACGTGTCCATGGGCATCTTCTGTGGAAAGCGCCACGACTTAGTGACGTTGGTCGTGAACCTTGGATGGCACAGAGTTCTTTCTAGACTTGTCGGTCGACTGCTGTGCTCAGCGTTGCTTCGGCTCAAGTCCAAAACGGCCGGTCGACCTTCATGGGTCGAATCAGTAACAAAAGTCTCGGGCTGAAGAGGGTGGCAGGGCCCTATGCCCGTTACTGTGCGACGGTCGCCAGGACAGGGACGGTCGACCCTCCATTGAAGCGCCTTCGAGTCAAAACCTTCTTGAAAAACGTAGATCAGAGCCGGTCGCGATGGAAGCAGATGTCAAAAAAGGAGAAACAACCCTTTGTGGACGCGGCGGTCAAGGATCACAGAAAGCACAACGCCCTCAAGAGGGAGCTCGCTCATCCTCCAGTGGAAGTCGACTCGCCGGTCAGAGACCCGAAGCCTGAGAATGATAGTGACCAGCAGCCACCGGTCGATGAGAACCTCGTCAATGAATTGAGGTTCTCCTTTGAAGGCATGGCACTTTCCAGTCGGTCGACCCTGGGACAAGGCGCCCATGGCACAGTTTACCGCTGTGAAAACTTGATGGGAACGGAGTTCGCAGTGAAGCATCTTGGCTATTCATTTTATTATTAAGGTTCATGCGATTGAACAATCATGAATGAATGAACGAATGATGTCTTTGTCGACTTTGGGTTTAGTGCTGCATCTTGTCATGTCGAGGTTGCCGGTCGGCAGCAGGGACGTGAAGAGGGAGCTAGACGTTCTCCTCAGTCTACGCCACCCAGCCATCCTGCATTGTTATGGGCCAGTCATGTCGGTCGACGGAGGTCTCGTGGGCCTTCTTTTGGAGTATGTGCCGGTGACATTGGACGCTTGGCTGAAGACGCAGCCCAAGGCCGCAAAGTGCCCACACAAATGGCATCTGATGGTCGATCTTGCACATGGACTCCAGTATCTGCACTGTCACAAGCTTGTGCACTGTGATGTGAAGCCACAGAACATACTTGTCGGTCCTGCCCCCCATGTTCGAGCCCGCTGGGCAGACTTCGGCCTCACTTAGCCGGTCGGGACAGCTGTCTATGGTGACGAGGTGTACTCTGCAGCGTACAGACCTCCGGAGCTTAGCGGGTCACAGGAACCCGGTCGTAGCTTTGCTGTAAGGGTGAGGTTGGCACCCACAGCTGATCTTTGGGCGGTCGGGTGTCTCTTGTTTGCGATCTTCACAACATCGACACTGTGTCATTTGTTTGTCACAGTGAAGGTGCTGTATGACATGTCCTTCATCAATTCCCGAATTGATAAGAACGTGCCGGTCGTCTCTGGCGCTCAAGAAGACATAAGAGCTTTCTTGAAAAAGCTGCCGAACGAGCGACAGCAGCTGAGGCTTTTCATTATTGCTGCAGAGGAGAAGTACAGACACCACGCTGGTCGTTGAACCGCCAGTAGTCGGGTGTCAAATTTCTGTGTGAAGGGGCATGCAGGAAGCCAAAAAAAGATTTAAAGCATCTGCAGTGGCAATCGTGGTCAGTGCAAGTTTTGGGGTGCGACAATCCAATTGGTCGGTCGATGCAACACTACAGCTAAGGAACCAGCTGCAGACGATGATCCCAAACCGTGAGGCGTACGTCATCACCTTCACTGCCGGTCCAGAACAGTCCCGGAATCGTCGACCGACTTACATGGTCTATTCACAGTCGGAGTTGTCGGTCTCTGCGAAGGAGGTGGTGCCGAGCCATGTGACTGTCAACAAATGCCGGTCATTTGCCTATGAGAAGTTACAGATGCGCTGCACCGACTACAATTGTGCCTTTGAATTAAATTAAAAGAATCCTTGAAACTAGACTAATGGCCCCACTGCCCACACTAACCCACCCTCCTACTGAGGCAAGCTCAGGCCGTGCAAACCCATGACAGACATGCCGGCCCATCCCACAGAGGACCTTTGTGGGGGGCAGGGCGGCAGGTGCAGGTCAGGTGCAGTTCAGGTGCAGTTCAGGTGATGAGGTTTTCTATATTGGTGCCATTCAGGTGCAGTTCAGGTGCAGTCCAGGTGCAGTTCAGGGTTTGATGTGGACGTCATCAATCACTTTACTGAATCTGGGAGGAGTTGCCGGTCAGTGACCAAGAGCAGCCAGAGGATAGCAAGACGTTGGACACCACAGAGGAAGCCGGTCCTGACACACAGGCGGTCGAAGCGTCCGTCGACAAGAAGTATCCTGTGGATTTGTGGTTGGTGGCCAAATGCTGGGATCACCATGCGTCGGTCGTGCGAGAAG